TAGTCAAAGTCAGAGAAACAGGACTACACTGAAAAACAGGCCAATCTCCATCATCTATAAACTAAGGTGTTGATGGAAGCAGCACAGCTGATATTTCTCCACAGGGGTGTGTCGCAGCCAAATCACAGATGAGATGTAAAATAATAGCAAATATGGGGAATAATATGTTTAGATTCCAGAACGGGAGCAATACGGTTTGTCGGAGTGGAGTTTCCATATGATGATGTCATAAGAAGGGGCGGGGCCCCGAGCAGATCTGGTACCTACACCGGGGCCGTTTCTCAATTCACAAGAACGCGAGTATGGACTTGTGTCCTCAACCAAGGATGTTCTAGAGAATAATATAGAAAAGTCTGGACTCTGGGAGAACAGGAGCACACAGCATACATATGGGTCAATTGGAACAGGTGCGTACTGATGACATCACCACACGCTTGGCTCATCTGGAGCTGCAGTAAATCTGTTACCAATAGTCTCTATATGATAATAAATTCTGACTTTTTTTCATTTAGTGGGGGAATAATAATTAACACAGTCAGATAAACACAAGTCAAATGAACATTTTGCCAAATAAAACAAAAAACTCTCCGTCAGATCCAGCGGTCCTTCACACGCGGCTGTGCAGAGAACGAAGACGGGCTGCCGTGACCTTCGGATGTCCGCCGGAGGTCCGCTGGTTGCCGCGGTCCTCTCAACTTCAGAATAAATGTTTTTTTTTGTTTTTTTTATATTACGCATTAAATCAGTAAATGGGCCACATAATGATTCTTAGAGTATAAAGTTCTCGCCTTAAATGATCTTAAAACGTACTTTTATCAAACAACAGAAAAGTGAACTTTTAACCTAATACAGGGTTCCCGCGGGTCCTTAAAAAGTCTTGAATTTAACTTGCCTTATGCTGTAGGAATCTTGTAATGCTCTGAGTGCTAACCTGGAAGCTTCTGCTGCTGCAATGCATGCTGGGAAAGCTGTCAATCTGAAGAACGGACAAGCTGCTCTGATGCATGCTGGGTAAAGAGGGAGGGGCAAGAAAAACATCCGGGTACTAGTGCTGAGGCTGATGACGTTTCACGTGAACACAAGAACGCACAAGTCCGTAGACTGAGAAAAGGCCCGGGTCTCACCGTGGGTTCGGTTCTGTTTTCAGGCACCTCTGTGGCCCGCCTCACTCGGGGTTTCCTGGAGCTTCTGATGGCGGCTCCAGACCACGCCGTGGACGTCAGAGAGGTGGCCGTGAAGCTCCAGACCCACGTCCACCGCGTTCACACCGTCATCGACGTCCTGCTGGGGATGGACCTGGTCCAGACGGAATCGGATCAGATGGATGATCAGACTCTGGTCAGATGGATGTAAGCAGCTGATCCGACCTGTTCTGGAGACGTGGGGAAAACGGAGAACGCAGCATATCTATTGTCCATCAGTCTTTCCGTCCCTTCGTCTTCAGGAACATCAGCAGTGAACTGATGAAACCTGATGTTCTGAGCAGAACCTTCTCTCTGTGTTCTGACTTCAGAGGAAGCAGTCCGATCTACAGCTTCCTGTGGAGGGACACGCTGCAGTTCCTGACCATGCTGCAGAGGCTGACGGCCATGGAGGACGAGGTGGACCAGCTCTTTAAAACCTGCGCCTGGCAGCTTTTCGCCCTCACAGAGGATGAGGAGAACGCCGCATATCCTTTCGGTTCTGAACGAGGCTGCCTGGCGTTCTGTGAGGGACGATTATCAGCTGTTAGTCTTAACCCTCCTCCACGCTCGCCTACATCAGCTGCCAGGACGTCTGCCGCCTCGGAGGCCTTCAGCAGCAGACGGCGATCTTGATCCGATCTCCTCCAGAAACCAAGCTGACCATCCCTCCTCCTGACGAGGTGAGCAGAGAGCCGCCATTAAAACGCATCCTGCTGCGTTCTCAGCCGGTTCTCATCCTTTCTGCCGGGCTTCCAGGACGGGATTCAGATGAATCTGGTTTCGGAGAAGGGTCCCATCGTGGCGCTGACCTGTGAGGTCGGACCGCTGAACGCTGAGCCCAGCAGGGTCTTCTCAGCGCTGGAGAGTCGTGTCAGGATGAAGGAAGGTGAATTAAAAAAAGTCCTTTTATTCAAAAAAAATGAAGCTTTTAGCATCATAAATCTTTGAAACCTGCACAGCATCAGCTTTAGGTTGTCTCTGGGTGTCAAAGAAGCCTTTGTTCCCTGTTAAGTTCATGTCCTGTTGGTTCAGTGGCTCTTAAACCTCCGACCTGATTCTCTGTTTAATCTTTATGGATTTTATCTAAAGATCTTTCTTCACTTCTTTACCTTGTGCGACAGTTTTTCCTTCCATTTAATTTTCCCACAGGTGTGTGTCGAGTAACGGAGGGGGCGTTTCCCCGAAGCACGTGTCGAGGCGTGATTCATTGATTGTTGATGAGAACAACCCGTTGTTTTTCAAACCATGTCTGTGCCTATTGGCAGACGCTTTGACCGATGAGAGCAACTGACCGTTTACACTCCCGCACCAGCTTTCTGTCGCGCTTACTACGTCACAAACTGCCTGTCGATAAGACGGCGAATACTTCCTTCTTAAAATGAATGAGCGTAGAGCCTCTTCCTGCTCACGTTTCAATGAAAACCCAAATTCTAATCCTTCCAAAACTGATTCCAAAGCTGAGTCAAACCAGAACTGTTCAATAGTTGTTGCCATCTTCCTTATTGTGCTTTCTCCGGCGTCGTGCAGCTTTGTCGTCACGCCCTCAAAACCCCACCTGCTTTGCATCCAGAAATTCAAAAGGCATCTCTGCGTTGTGATTGGCCCTTAGGTTCTAGGGTCTGTGGCATTGATCGAGACGAAACCACTCGCATTCCAAAATGATTTTGGCCGCTGGCGGGTGGTGCTAGTTTACTAGGCAACATTTTTGGTGCAGCAGCAAACTTGTAAACATATTTGTTGAAGGAGCGCCGTCCCCAATAGCAGCGTCAGCATTTAAATTACTCCTTTTGTTCCCCATCCTGCTCTGTTTTCTCCCGCTATCTTCTCCATGAGCAACACTTGGCTCGACCAATAGGATGAGGGGATTCTGGATTGTTACATATGTTGTCAGCTTATTGGTCACAACGCAGTACAGGGCCCGGTGACAAGTTTACCGTAAGTTTTGTATCTAACGTGCACTTGTGCTTCATTTTCCATTAGCTTTTTACTATTTTTTTTTTTTACTCTCACAGTATTATGGGACGAAGTGACATAATACTTTTTCGCTAGATAAGACAGGGTTTCCACGGGTCGTCAAAATTAAGGCCTTAATTAGCATTAAAATTAATTAAAGATGATTATTGTGGCATTTAAAATGCTTTATTTAAAAAAAAAAAGTTTATAAAAACAATTTCCTCAGATATATTGTGATATATGTACCGTCGATCGTAAAGCCGTATGTTCGGAAAAAGAAGCTTGAGGCGGTGAAAAATGTTTCAACAAGAAAATTAGAAAAAATTTCAACAAAAGTGGCTGGAAAATGAGGAATTTGGGACATGGCTGCAGCCTGTCGACGGGTACTTTTTAAGATCATTAAAAAGCATTAAATTAGAGTTACTCATTCCTGTATAAACCCTGTAAGAGATGGGTAGTTCTGTTTCTAAATGGGGAAGGGACGGTTGGCAACCCTACTATTATGTGACATTTGCTCCAGGATACACATTTTATCATGAATAATGCTTATTAGAGATTTAAGGCCACATAGTCCTTTTTAATAGTCGGCTAAAACACTTAGAGCCCTTGTTGCCATATGAGGCTTATAGAAGACTGACCCCAGGGTCTAGTGTTTTTGTTTTGTTTTGTTTTTCTGCCATCCTGCTTGAAATGACAGAAGTAAGGAAACTGATCAGGTCTTCATGTTCTATTTACCTGCCAGCAATAGGAGGCAAGAAGCTGCAGATCTAGGAAAGGAAGAATGAGGATAAGGATTTCCGGGCGGCTGAAGGTAGAGGTTTAATTTCATGCAGCAATTTTTATCTAGAAGCAGGAAAAATCTGCTCATCTCTTCTGTATTGTTCTGTTTTTCTAGATTGTGTGATGGTGCTGATGAAGACGCCTCTAAAGGAGGAAAGGCCCCATGATGGAGGCGATCCTGGAAGCAGGACTGGAGCCGTAAGGAGCAGAGAGAGAGCGGCCATGTTGGAAGCCATGGTGAAAACCTGGACTGTAGTTTTCCTTTAAATGTTTACTAGAACTCATTGACCACAGCGCCCTCTGGTGGCTGGTTGATCGCTGCAGATGTCACAGCCTCCGATGAGAGAAGATCTGTTTGGTCAAAGCAGCTCCTTCCTTCAGTCGGACGGAAACAGGACTGTGATGTTTTTATGGCGTCATCAGCTGGTTGCTGCAGTTACTGGATCCTCAGCTGGTCTGGAAATTAAGGATCAGGGATTTTTCAAATGAAGCCTTTCAGTTCACCATCTTCGGTGTGGACGCCGTTACTGAGTTTGGACCAACGCAAGTTTTGCCTATCAGTTTACGATGGAAGCTGTAATTATTTAATTGAGGCTGCAGGGCGGCGATAGAGAGCAGGACAGCAGCAACGTTCTTTGATCTGGACTCATCTGACGTCTCTGATCCGTTTCTTTTCAATTGAAAATTGGTTTGTTTTGGACCGGAGACGGGATAAAGTATTTCGTTTGTTACCTGCTTCTGTTTGTTTTTTCGGCTATCAGGGTTTGTTTACAGCAGAAATGAGTGACATTTCCACACACCTGGATGGGATCAGC